AACAGATATTGTGAGTATATATACACTCCATTCTCCAGCCCACCACCGTGACTGGTCCTACTACATGTTCTACACTCAAAAGGTGACAGTAGTACACTGATACTGCTTATAGCTTTCAGTCATTCAAGCTGTTTCTGTGTGAGACTCCTCCAACTCCTTCTTCCATACAAATAAAGCACGCTGAGACTGTAATGCCTCAGATTTTTTGTTTCTGCAGCAAAACCAAATATGTCAAACCTGCATCCTACTCTCTTTTCTTTTTCATCTGGCGATATTACCCATGTTCTTTTTTCTCAGTAATGCTAGCATAACTATTTGTATGGCTTCATGGGGAACAGGATAATGCTAAAATTGTCCCCTCTCCCACTATCCTTTTCTTCTGCACATAATATTCCAGCATATAATGGAATACAGCTGCTTCTACTGCCACATCAGTTAAGAAAATATCTGTAGAAGCATAATATCTGTGTAACTTCAGTTATCTTACATTGTTACTCCAAGTCTGACACCAAATAAACCAAGTTACAATACTGGAAGAAAAATGTTCACCAAAAAAAACAAACATGAAATGCAATCCAAGTTTATGTTTAAAACTTTGATACCTTTTTAGCTACATAGTTTCTGTTGATAGTCCAACTATATAAGCAAACTTGAACATTTTTCAAGATATGAGGCTATATGTCATTTACAATACAAAATCCCATTATATTTAACAAAATTTCAAAGAGATTAATTCAGATAATTCTTTTTGGGAAATTTCTGTTCATGTCCACAAAACTTCAGGCTAAATAGAAATTCTAACAAGAGAGCCCTATAGTACTATAAACAAGCTACTAGAAAATGCTGTAAGAAAAACAATAAAAATTCAAGTCAGACATCAAAAACATTGTACAAACAGGAAGCAAGACTGATTTAGGACCTGGGAAGATGCAAAGCTGATCAAATCTGTGTGTCTGTATCAGTATGGTAGTAAACTTCAGGTAAAACAGCTGCTGTCAGACAAGTATCCAGGTTTTTATTAAGGAACTGCAATAAAACATTGAGATAAGTCTCATGAAAAGATGGTTTCACATGCCACGGATACTGAGAATCTCAAAATATATTTTGCTGCAATACTTAGCCTCCAGTAAAATAAAAATTCAGCTTTTCCATTTCAGTGGGCACTGAAAATACATTTTCTTTCAGAAAAGTCTTTGGATTTAACACCTCTATGGTTGGTATCTGCTTGTATGGCAAAATATGCTTTATTAATATTAATTGTTTAAAAGTGTCAATGTCAGGAAGAGAAGTTCACGAGTGCCCATCTGTTATTCTGACGGCCATTCTCACAAGACAGTTTTTATTGTATTAAAAGAAATTAATGCTATAAACAAAACACAAAAGAGACCAGGAATGCAGGTCCATTCATCATTTCGCCATGAAAGTGAGACAGAAAGAGACTGAGTGCAGAAAACAGTGCCTTATGCTCCTTACTGGAAATGCTTGCAGGAAACAAAGTTACAGATTGGGAGACAAATCTGAAAATAGTAAGAAATGTGAGGGTAATTCAGACAATATTTTTAGAATTTAGGAAAAGCAAACATTAATTTCTGGTTCTAGTTGCAATAGCCAGTACAGTAACAGCAGTAGTAGAAAAGATGGAAATTTCTTCTAACTGCATTGTAAAATGGGCTTGTAGCCTCAGAGAAGAAAGAAAAAAAAAGCTAAGACATGTCATCTTCATTTATGGCAATGAGATGACTTCATAGCATCTGGAGACCCCTCAAACTTACTATTAAATGGAAATTTCATCCTTGTCAGCTAACAGGAATAGGTGCTTAGTTGTGCTCTTTTTTTTTTTTTCCTTTGTGTTTTGAGAAAATGAATAAAGGCATGATATTTAAGCCTCAAGAATTTATTTTCCCCTTAAGTTCATTGCTGTCTTGGTGCTTGCATTCATTATTTCACTTAAAAGCAAACATCTCAGCATTTGCTTTGTTAAGCTTTACTTTTTAATTTGGATAATTGTTTTTACTTGTAGCCTTATATACAGTGTGCTTTTCAGACCACAGTGTGATACATGCGGCAATGTATTGTGGGATCTATTGAGGGAAACTATTGTAACTGAAGGCAAGAAGCAATCATAGTAAAGCTGAGAAAGGTTGAGAGCAAAATCACTGTGTTACTAGCACAGACTTTGTGGCTGGCAACTGTAAACTTTGAAAAACCATGCCTCTTTTCTTTTTTCATTTCATGCACTGAACTGCTCTCTGGTAAAACTAGCTTTCTCCCTCAGCACAGTGGGAACAGTGGTGCCCCAAAGCTCTCAGTCCCCTGTGCCAGACGGTGTGACCACCTCTGGCACATCAGAAGCCTTGAACCAGGCAGGGCTCCTGGGGAGGGATGTCCTGGTGTCAGTCTGCAGGGGCAGGGAACAGCTCTGCAGGAAGGCTTGGGGATCTAGACAGACGCCACACTTGAGCGTGAGTCAGCTGTATGCACTTTCTGTGATGAAGCCCCACACATGGAGCTGCATTAGCAATAACGTAGTCAGCAAGTCAGTTCTCTCCTCTGCAGAGCTGAGGTCACGTCTGAAATACCTACATCTAAAATACTGTGTCCAGTTTTGGTCTTCCTGTGGAAAAGAGATTTGTATTTGAAACCATTTAGTGAGCAGGCCTAGAGGACTTGTGGTATCCCTCACATCCTACTTGCTTATATTGATACAAATATCCTGTCAGTGAAGTGTCCAGATCTCTAGATGCATTTGTTTGAATCTTGTTAACTCTTTTATAACTGATCAGCGTATTTTAATAAGGTAAAAGACAACAGGAGTTTTAGTGTAATCTGCACTATTGCTAGCACCATGTTTCAAATGATAAAAGACTGGTTAATTTTTATAATAAAACTTGTTAATTTTTAGTCTGGATTGCATCTGTTGGTTGCTTTGGTTGCTAGCTGAGGAGTTGCCTTCTGTGATCTTTCATCAGCCACTTGTATAACTTGTGCCTTTTGGATAAGGCATTCCACAGTGCATGCCTTTATGCATCTACTGAAGCTGAGTTCTTATCTAGGTACCCTGTGGATTCAATGGAGAGGACATACTATTTCTTGGCTCTGTTAAATGCTCTGGGTTGTCCTTTCTGGCTGTGTAAGGATTCTAGCATCTTAGCTTTGATATTTGAATTTGATATCTAAGTTACATATAGCGAATTGCTTCTCTTCGTGGCACCAAGTAAGTCTCCACTGTGTATCAATGCGTAGGGGATCAGAGATCTTCCCTGCCTCAGTGGGATGTTGAAGACATCATACCATAAGCCATTCCATTACAGCACTGTTGCTATCTTTGTCAGAGGCTTAGGTAAAAGGAACAGTATGTTTGAGAGGTGATTATTTCACTCAGTTTACTTGAAGACAATAAAAGGATTTGTTTTGACCTTTTCTTTCTGAAGAGGTGAAACAGATTTACTGAAATGAAAGGGACACAGAATTGTGCCATTGCCATCAGGATTTAGTAGTGACCAAGACAATTCAATCATGAAAGGAAAACAAGGGAATCAGCCAATATATATTTAAGTCTTCAGACCAAGAATGTCATTTTTGCAATCATTAAATATAATGCTTTACAACTCTTTTAACAGTAAAGCATATCAGTTAACGTATATGTATCTATTAGGGTACTTTGTCTTCTTAATATTGTGTGTGATGAGTATTTTATATGACCTTTTTTAGCAAGTATGTAGAGTTCAGTATTCATGTTCACCATCAAACTCCCTAGAAATGACAAATGTTAGGTTAATAACTTTTTCAGTAAGTCATGAATGAATAACTGCCTATTAACCTCTATGTGTCATTTTGACTGCTCATGTTGATGTATATCATAAATTAAGCAGTAGAGGACCTTAGATCAGAGAATCCCAGGAAAACCCAGAAACTTCATAGAGCAGTATTTTTGGTTCAGTAGTTTGTTTTCTTCTAGGTTAGTACCAAAAAGAGAGCAATATAGCATGTAAGTATAAATATATAATTTGTAAATGTAGAAGGTAGCAGTGATAGTCTCCATAATAGATACAAACCAAACATATGCACAGTCATTCAGATAATTATAATTTTCTTTCACCACAGTATGTGACTAAAATCTGATTCTCATGACACTCATGGGCACTTAAATATTGTATGTAGCTTTATGAAGTTTAGTTGCTGAAACTATTGCATGTCACATGTTTTAAATTTAGACCAGTGTACTTCCATGCCACTACTTAATGAACTTCTGTTGTTGCTGTTGAAAAATCTTATAGTTAAAAAAGCATATCACACCAGCATCCAGATGTGGGGGATTTCAGAGATACGTACAAGTGCCTAACTTACTGCACATAGTGAGGAGAGCATTTTCATTCGCAGAATAAAGTTGCTATAAACATGTAAAAGATGCATAAAAAATTAATAAAATGCAGTTGCACATTAGCATGTGTTAATGCTGTTTTGAGAAAGGGCCCTACATTCAAAAATTATTTCAATAAATTTCTAAGTACTTTTTTCAAATTTGTATGTCATGAAAGAGCCTAAAGGAAACTTTGGTAGAATGGTATATAGAAAAGTGTAGGAATCCAAGAAATTAAAGCTAGGAAAGGCAGTTCTTTGCAACTTAATACATTTCTAGGAAATGAAACCAAAATGCAATAAAGAAAATAGTCATTTTGGTTTAAAAAACTTTTATGTTTGTTCTAAAAAGATCTAATGCATACTTCCTGAATGCACTACCTTAAGTTCAGGAATTATGAACAGAATACGTGTATTCAAGGGAAGTAAATGATCGGCACATATATATGCTGGTACAGAGAAAGTACTTATTGTATGTGTTATGTGGTACTGCCTTCTTTTTGTTGCCTTTCTTTTGATTGGTAAAGTTGAGACTCAGAACTTGTCAAAAGGTGTAAAAATCACTTGAACACTAAGAAATATTGGGCAGTTTCAGAAAATTGACGTATCTGCCTTTACGGATATATTTCTTCTTACTGCAGATCTAATGCATTTGAAGTGCTGGCACTCGATGGAGTTAGTACTGGGATACTTCAGTTTTATACAGCCCAGGAGAGTGCTGACTGGCTGAGAGCAATATCAACTAACATCAGTGATTTGACACTTCAAAATGTATGTTACTTTCTGCATATTTTCTTGTCTATGCTATTGTAAAATTATTTCTAATTTTCCAAGGGTAGAAAATAATTCACATTTAAGATACTACATATGAAACGCATGTGTATGGGGAGCAAAAGAAGAAAGAAAAGAGCAGGGAGAGGTTGTCCGGTCAGTCGAAAGTATCAAGAAGTTTTCTAGACTTGCAGTGTCGTTACAGAACAGAGAGTAGTAGAAAATCAGATTGCATTTATTATTTTGAAGAATTTTAAGGCAAAATATTTATCTTTCTGATCATTTCACAGAGCTATAGATTTGACCAAATATTTCATTTTTACATGCTTGTAATTAAAATGTGCTTGAAATTAGAATTTGTTGATTTTGAAGTAGGCATGTGGAAATTCTGTGGCCAGTGAAGTGTGGCTTATAGAGGCTTATTGGGAGACAGTTTTTTACCTCTCTAAGTTGTCTAGGAGTTGATTTATTTAAGGTCATGTTATTCCATCTTTCTAGAAGTATAAAGGTGCGTATGCTGGTTTAAGTTGCTCCTGTAGATTCACAAGTAGCATTTGCTATTGCAAGCAGAAGTATTAAAAATCCTTAGAGAAACAGAAGATTATTATTTGGACAGCACATTATTATTCCAAGAATGAACAACAGAAAACTATTGAAGCTTCTGGACTGAATCATAAAGTTAAATAGGGAACTTGATAATGTACAATATTGAAAATGTATTTCAGTCTTTTTGACATGGTAGAAATCGATGATGAAAACGTAAGAGCACAGCTGTTCCTGGAAGAATTACCTGCGCAGGTTTTTAATCTTTTTTTTCTTGAGATGTGTTCAGGCTGTAACTTCTTTTATGAATTATGTTTTAGTAGCATGTTTTTAATTTATGCTTTGTACTTGAGATTAATTGTTGCTTAGTTCTTCAGATCATATGGTGTAGAATTTGTATTGGATTTCTACATAAATCTTTGGTCAAAACATTATAAATACAATTTATTTTTCTAGTCTTCAAAAGTTACTTGGAATCACATTTGATCACAAATTAATTCTTTTTAAATATTCAATTGCTTAGGCAATGTCTTTGACAAAATCAAAAATTTTTGCTTATGGTGCATTCTTTATAAATATTCTCTATTTAGTGATTTACATCATTTACAGGGTATTACTATTTGATAATTCTAAGAAAGTAAAGTGAATTATTCATTAGATTTGTCATTTCTTCTGTGTGAATAGCAAACAAGAAGTGTATGGTAATATTTTTAGAGCAATTCCAGTTCATAGTAGCTAAGCCAAATTCTTTCACTTTCTAAAGAAATTCACTGAATAAAAGCCACTCCAAGGATGTAGGTGAATAAGACAACAAAAAGTGACAATAGATGCAAGCAGGTTTTATTAGTCGTAGGATTCTAGTCTGTTTTTTTCAAATGCACTATGTGCAGTAGCACGTCTCCTGACGTAGTATTTTCAGTGTGTTGTGACCTGTCTGCAGCAGTGTTTTATTATATACTGAGTACTTGCATTGGTCTTCTCTGTTATCTATCACAATAGTGAATTCTGTAAACAAAGTGGTCCATCTGGTGTTTATATAAGTGCCTGTTCTGGGGAAGGGTCTAAGAAACAGCAGCCATGATAAATTTGTATATTTTGTGTTCTTGGTGAGATACGGAGTAAACTCTATACAGATCATATGAGGAGCAAGTAAACCGTTTGCTTGCACTTAAGGCTTTACCGGCTTTGTCAGGTGTGAAGCCCGCGGCATAATTGCAGAGGTCTGGCCAGAGCATTTTAGTTGCTGATCATAAGAACAGGGGATGTAATAGTTGGTGAGAATACCTTTTATTGCAAACCATTTTTTAAGACTAAGACTGTGAGGCTGGAATGCAACTGAAGTCTACAGCAAGAGAAGGCTGGAGAGCGGTGTCTGCCTCTGGGCAGCCAGGGGACACAGACTGTTTGACATCCACAGTGCTTAGGCAAGGCCTCTGGATTAGGCTTCTTGAAAATCCATTTTGAATGCTTTTTACTACCTTGATACTATTCTTTCACAAAGAGATTCTTTTCTTCACAGTCTTCTGAAATTGGCGCTAGGGAATGGGTCTGTAATTCCTCAGAGCTTTTCCTGTTTCTGCACATCTGTGGCGTGTCTCCCCCATTCTCCAGGAGTACCCGAAGACAATTACTACAAGTTCGGAGATTGTTTCAGATAATCACTTATCTACTTATGGGTTAATTTCTTGAGTCCTTGCTGACTCTAAGTTCAATTGCTTCTACAAATATTTAAACTGTTTATTTCCTATTCTGTCCTGTGCCATCATCTCTGTATGTAATTGCTAGATATGTGGTCACAATGGACCTTCTTGCTAATACTGTTGGCATAAAGAACATCAGCATTCTAACTGGACCTATTACTAAGTATTTAAGCAATACTTTCCATTGTTCACTTTTAACTTCCACACATTTTTAGATTTTCTTTGTGCTGATACTTGTTTCTTGACTTTAACAACTCTTCCTGCGCCTTAGTCATTCTTACTTCATCTGTGCCTGTTCGTGCTACTCCTATATACATCCTTTGTCGTACACGCTTGCATACCATTTTGAATAATTTATTTTCAAATTTTAGTTCTTAAAGAGCTCCTGATACAGATTGTTTTCTTACAGTGCAGCCTATCGTTCATACATCACTTTACCCTAATATATTTTGTTTAGCTATTTTACTGTAATACTGTCTCTGCAGTTCAGCAACTGGCAGCTCTTTGTCAGATCTCCTGCTGATGCCAGAAGGCAGTCCTAATGTAGGCAGTACAAAAATAGCTCTGCCACAATGTGACACTTCTGCTAATGTCAGACTACTCTTTTGAAGTACTGAAACATCTAACTTCTATGCAAAGGCAAGCTCTCTGGGGATCAAGTGTAAAGGAGGAGTCATCTTTCAATAGTGAAGATGTGAGAAGTTGTCACTGCATAAGGATGCTACCCCTGAATGTTAGCCTATCTGGAAGGTGTTACTTGGTAGATGAGAAATAATGATTCTGGTACTAGCCTGGAGAGAGTTAGTTCTTCTAAGACAGGGGAGCATGGAGAATACTGCAACATGGAGAAAGATGTAAGGATGTCTTTTCAGCCCTCCTTACTGATATATGCCTTGTATGCTTAGCTCAGAAAATCTCCTAGTAACTGTCAGCTTTACAAGCAGTATGGATTACTCTTTTTTTTCTAAGGACCCTTGCCCCAAATTATTCATCACTGTTCATATTCTTGTTTTTCACGTACTTTTCTAACAGCATGAAACTTTCCTATCATCTTCTTTTGTGATTCAATCCCCAATCTTCTCAATGTTCTCAAAGCTCTTCACATTTACCTTTCACAGAAGAAAATAGAGATGAATCAGCACGTCACATTTATTTCTCCTTACATCTCTTCTCTCGCAGAAGGAGGTACAGTTGAAGAAACTGAAGGGAGAGAGGGAACAGAAACTGGCAGTGAAGCGGCCATGATGAAACAAGAAGCACAGGAAACAATTTGATCTGCATGTGCTTCGCACTGCTCCTGTTCTTAATTTGTTCAGCTAGAGGGTTCTTTCTAGGCTGAAGTGGCAATGCTATACTGGAGATGTTTCTTTTAGAAGAGAGTCCTTTCAAATAATTTATATTTCTCTGTCTGTTTTCCACCAGATCATTTCCATTCAGATAGCCAGCTATTAAATATGTGCAGCTTTTCTCATGGATCTTAATTATTTTCTTTGAAACACAGCAGTGAACATTAATGTAGTCATGATCAGAAGAAGCACCTAAAGGTAATGCTGCCAGCTCATTTACATTATAGAGACTTGTTTCTTATATTTATAACTTTCTTGAGGTTTTATTTTTTCCCCAGTATATTCTAATAATGTTATTTTTTTAAAAAGAATATTCACAAATAAATGAGTAGTTCATAAGCAGTTAAGAGAATGAGTTAAGATGCAGTTGTTCCACTTTAAACATTATTTATGATTTTTATAAATCATTACAGCAACTTCACTGGAGGATGGTAAAAACTTAAAATTCAGCTTCAAAACAGTGTTATTAATCCAGATCATATTTATGGATTTGACAGCTTCTTTAATTGTATATATCAGTGTGCAAACCTTTTCTTTTACGCTTTTAGGTACACATATAAGTGATATTCCATATCACAGTGGAGTGAAATTTCTGTTTGAATAGGGAGAGACTTAGGAAATATGATCTTTGAACATGCATATTAAAAAATAAAAAGAGGATTGAGGAGGTCTTGTTTTCTTTGCACAGCAGAATGTGGGATATGTGTAGATGTAAACTGTGTGTAGGAAGCAATATACAGGTTTGACTGCCTCAATGATAATAGAAACAATTTTATTCCTGGGGTGAAAACACATGATAATATTTCTTTGCTGCTGCTTTTTTTTGTTTGTCTGTTTCAAAAATCTCCCTTAGAAAGTACCACAGTTTAACCCATTGAGGTTGTAATGGGAAGTCAGTAAGGGTAGGAATCACATCACCTAAATTTAGCTAAGAACAAGCAGTCACATAGGATCCTCTTATAGCCAGGAGGAAAAAAAAAAAAAAAAAAAAAAAAAAAAAAAAAGGTGCCTGTCAAGATCATTCTCTCTCTGCTGTCTGGAAAGAGAATATAGGTATATTAGATATGTAACTGTTTTTCCTTTCTTTGGCTTACAAAAGTTAAGTGAGATAAATCCCAGCTTGGGAGGTATTTAGAGTTAGGTATATGGTTCTGAATAATTTCATCCCCATTCTGTTCCTGCCCCATATGTATTCATTTAGAACAGAGTATAGGAATTACAATCACTCAATAGTTCTTTTTCCAAGTTGCCTGCAGTCTTTGCAGATTCAGGTTTTGGGTTTACTTCCCCTGCTGTCTCCAGCTCCCGTTACTGTACTGCGGTGCTGAAAGCTCGTGCACTGCTGGAGAGGTGTAGCTTATCCATTTGTATTCCTGTCTCTCTGCACCAGCTGTGGAGGCATGTAGAGAACATGGTGCCGAGTGAAGTGGAGAGTGCATACTTCTCTCTGCTCAGCCCTGTGACATAGGGATGTAATGTGATGTGCAATGAGATCTTTCCTCTCCCCACAGTTGTGTCAGGGCTACATCCGTCCTTGCGTTGAATAGGGAATGAGCTAAGGCTGTGCAGTGAACAGCTGTGGAGTCCAAAGCATTCTTCCCTAGTGCACTTACCAATGGGTAGCTGGACTGGTTACAAGGATGCTCTTCACAATACCCTCATTCTGCAGAAAAACTGCATGGCCAGTCTGACACACATTTTTCAAGGCATGTCTGAACACAGTAAAATAAAAAGTAGGATAACAAAATTTCTTCCTGTTATATAGGGAGCTTAAGTAGTTTGACTGAACCAAAAAGGAGGGTGAAAGGAGACAGGATCCCTGCTAGCCCTATTTATTTTCACTGTTTTGTGCTATAGTAATCTTGTTATTCGGAATGTCTTTGGCCACCTGCAAGGAGATAATATTTTCTGTGTGTATAACATGGCTTCTGTATAGTTACTTTGTGTATGTATTTGTCTCTGAAGCATTGAGGAAAGGTTTGAGCTGAATATGGGCAGGGTGTGATGGCATTCCTACTGATAATAAAGTATTCCAGGTGCTTTTTTATTATGTCCTGTACCACTGCTCAGGATTAAGCCTATTACTGAATCAGACTGGTGAGGTCTGCTTGTTTCTGCAACAATGGACATGTCATCAATTTGTGTTACCCGGGTTACAGAGCGGGGTTCTTGAGTTCCCGTTCCTCCTCTGGGGTAGGAGCATGGCAGGGCCCCTCCAAGGGACTGGCAGGCTCTCCTGGCACTCTACCCAGGGTGACAGCCAAGCCTAGTAGGTGCCCCAGGCTCCCAACAGGTCCAGCCACCTCATCCGCAGAGACTCAGTCACTCCCAGCTGTCTGACCCACCACACAATTCAATTCAAACAGGCTGCAAAAGTGAGCGTGTGGGGGGGAGGAAGAGGCCTGATGACGCATGATGGGTTAGGACTGACTAATGAGCTCCTACAGCCCTGAGCCTGGGTATCACCCTGTGTCCATGCAGTCAAGGCTCCTGCTGTCATCCTGTGCTCCTCCACGTAGCATTCTTTCCTAGGGTCATTTTGTTTACAGTCATAGATAATTCCCTCTGTACAGAGTAATGACTTGTTACTGCATCTATTAGCTACGAGTGTGTGTGTGTGTCTGTGCATATACACTTTATGTATTTTTCATATATACTTGCAGCTTTTGTATATGTATATATCATCACATCCCACAGCTGTACTTTGCTAAAACCAAGTAGACAATAGTCTTATGGTCATTAGATGTTCCTGTTATAGCTAAACAAGCTGTAATACAGCTCCAGACAGTGCAAGACAAGTCCAGACAAACCATGACACATCCTGAGGCCTGTGTCATTAGCATAACACAAAGCCTGCTGACCTCTTACGGGTGTACTGTGTCTGGCTGGGATGGAGGTAACTTCCTTCATGGCAGCCGTATGGTGCTTTATATTTGTGGCTAAAACAGTGTTAATAACACCGGTATTTTGACTGATGCTGAACAGTGCTTGCACAGCATTAAGACTTTGACTTCTCACTCTGACACACTGTGCCCCACCCCCCAGCGAGGGATGAGCAAGGAATTGGGAAGGTACACGGCTGGGACAGCTGGCCCAAATTGGCCAAAGAGATATTCCAAACCATATAATGTTGTGCTCAATAATAGAAGTGACATAGCAGACAAACAAGGTGAGAATTTGTCTTCCAAGGTTGCTGTTGCTTGAAGACTAGTTGGAAATCATTCTGCTTGTGGGAAGTAACAAGTGATTGCTTTTATATCACTTGGGTTTTTTCCTGTTTCCTTCACTTATTTAGCTCTGTTAATCTTGACGCACAAGATTTCTTGCTTTTGCTCTTCCTATTCTCTCACCCTTCCTGCGGGGAGGGGTAAGGGCGTGAGCGGCTGTGTGGGTGCTCAGCTGCTGGCCACAGTCAACCCACAACAACAGGAAATGCCATCACCATATTTACTGAGCTACATGACTGCAGACATGCTTTGCTTCCAAAGATTATCAACATATTTGATCTTACAAATCTGCTGTGGCCAGGATACAAGTTATAGCCCTGGATTTTGTGTGCTCTTTTCTTGTGGCTATTGTCATTTTCCCTGTGCATATCTGTAGCTTTTGGTCTTGTATCACAAGCCTTTCATTTGTTATAAAACGGGCTTTTTGATGACAAGATCTTTTGGAAGTACTTGTCAACTGTAGGGCAGTTAGCAGCTTATATCCTTGCATATAGGGGAGGCTGTCTTTCCAGTCTAATCTTTTTCTTTCTAGAGTCTGTATCATTACTACGCTTACTGATATTGCACCTTAAAGTGCAATGTAACCTTTGAAGTTTTTTACTTTAAAGAAGGGATTATCTGTCAGAGTTGGTCCACCACTCATCTATGCAAACTATGACTGCCAAAGAAAAGCCAAAATCAACAAAACTCTTCATTATCTGAACAAAGAGGAAAAAGAAAGATATGTAACTTTATCTTGAAGAGGAAACTAAAAGGAAAGCCTAAACATTATTCCCTTCGTCTTTAACCACATCTTACACTCTATGGCTTTCATTTCACAAGTACTTAATCACATACCTCATTTATAGATCTGCTTAAGCAATTGTTTAACTGAGACCTAAGTGAGGTGTCTGCAGTACAGTATAATAGTTTCACTCAGAGTGGCAAAGTTAAATTCATAAATGCAAACCTTTATGAAGGACTTAATGAAAACTCTGATAAAGGGCTTCCCATCTTTTGAGTCCTTTGTTATACAAGTTCAGTGTAACAGTAAAAGTCTAGTATTTAAGCACTGAATGATTTAATTTCTTCTAAATATCATTTGGAATTACTAATATAGTATTCAATAACTAAGTCAATGCTAATTGCATCACAGAAACTCCTCAGCATATTAATAACTCTGTGTGTTCTCCTATCTCTCTTTCATAGATGAAAATGGCAAATAAATGCTGTTCTCCCTCAGACCAGGTAAGACTTTCATTATATTATCCAATCTTTAAAATTCTTGTCATTGTGTTAAGTTGAAAAATTTGTAGAGCTTGCGAACACACATTTAGTCAGTTTTAAAATTATATAAACCAAGTTTTCTATGGTTTGAAGTTCTGAAATGACCCTACTTAATACAGCAGTTTCTTACTAATCCATGTTAATGAGTAGAATCCTCCACTGTAGAGACCTAAAAAGTTAGTTAGATGGAGCCATGAAATAAATGGGGTGGGAGGGGGGCAATGGAACTCACAACCAGATGTTGGAAAGTGTAGTGTATGTTTGCATGCAATATTGCAGCAGTGAGTCTGACAAGTTAACGCTGTGTTTATATCACATATGGTTCACAGATAGCCAAGGAGCATATTACATAACCAATCTGTTTTGCATGTGTCATGCTGTGCAGACTAAGTTTGCCATGGCTATCTGGGACTTCTGGAGCTCAGGAACCTGATGAGGTATTTCCTCTGCTTCAACTAGCCAAATGTCCTGAAGACCCAGATGAATTTACTGCATTGGGAAGTTCTTATTCCTTGTAGTATTGCAAAGATTTTTTTTTTTCATTTACTTTATAAAATATAATAGTAGCATTTTCCAGGCTAATTCTCTAATTCTGGGAAGAACTTTGAAGCTTGTATTATAAAACTGTTTCACTTACGTGTGCTTTCATTGCATCAGTCTGGCATTGAATCATTCATTACTCAGGAACAAAGAGCTGAAACCCTGCTGTTTCCAAAAATTCTGGGTTTGTTGATTATAAAAGTGAAAATTAGGCATGGTGTTTTACTGCAGAAATTTATTATGGAATTTTATTACATAAGTCAAAGACTGAGTCAAAAAATTCTTCATATCGGAATCAAATAAATATTTGTTAGTTTGACAGCTTGTGTATTTTTTCATATGTCACTGTTTCGTCATCTTGTTTGTAAAATGTACTTGGACATTTATAGACTCTTCTAGAAGTTATTAAAAATATTTATCCATTGCCATTTTCTTACACAGGAAGCTGTTTCCCTATATTTGGGTCAGTACTTTCAAAAAACGTATACCTAGAAAACCACTACAGACTTTAATTCTATGTATAGTAGATAATTAAGTTACCCACAAAACCAAAATAAATACCTATTCTTTATAAGAATGGAGCATTGAACTACTCCCTTTGTCATGGCTTTTAATTATTAATTAAACTGATATGAAAAACAGGTGACTATGAATGCCAGGGGAAAAGGTATTGAATTTGGATATCTCTTGTTGGATGAACTCCCTACTAGAAGTACTTTAGTAACTATTAAAATTTTATTCGTATCAGTTCCAGCACATATAATGGGTTTAGTTAAAAAAAAAAAGTGAAGACATAGTCTATCCCACTTTTTCATTCCAAATATGAAAAGAAGGGAAGATACAGTTAGGACCTTAATTTCTGGAGTTGAAAATTTAAGGTGGGACTGACAGCCACAAACATTGGATTGTTCTTTGCCAAAGAGAGAGAAAAAATAATGTTTAGAATGAATTTTGCCAGAGCAAGTAAATAAAACTAGCCAACATAAAAATAGTAAAGGAACAAGTGTGAAAAATTCAGACTCTAAAATGTCCTGTGAAAATTTGCAACTAAAATGTGAATCTTATATATATATATATGTATGTATATGTATATCTCGCAAACGAATAAAATAAAATTTGCAGTGATAAATGAAAACAGAAGAGGACTTGATCTGCCATAGATTAATGGAGCCTATTAATGTCGGTTACATAATGTTTGTTAATGGAATTGACTTAGAATTTAGACAAAGGTTAAGCTTAGGAGATTGAAAGTCACTTGAAGAGCTACCTTGAAGTAAAATTGGCGATAGCTGCAAATTTATCTTTTCTTTTGAATATGGGAGAATTGAACAGGTCCTTAGAGTTTCATTACTGTGTTGCCTGTGGGGAGTTTTCTTCATTGCCTGTGGAATCCAGGCTTTCATAAAGGGACAAGGCTGGATCAGGATAGGTTTCATTCAAGTTCTGTTTTTCATAGGTCATCACCAAACTGGGATTCAGGGTTAAGAATGTAAAAAATTACTTTGCTAAGCCTGGTTTTCTTCCTTGTCTTTCATATTACCCCTGACTTGTTTTACTGGAAGCTGAATCTCCAGAATATGTTAAATTCCGTGGGCATATGAGAAAATTGGAAAGTGAAAGGATGAAGATATTGGTTCCCAGGTCTAAACCAGCTGTATCTATGGGTCTCTTTGCCAGAAGAAGATGTCAAAGAGTTTGGGCTTTGCTCTGTGTCTATGATCCAAAGTTAGAGACTCAGCTCCCTCAGCCTTTCATCATAAGGGAGATGTTCTACTTGCTTAATCATCTTTATGGCTCTGCGCTGGACTCTTTCAAGCAGCTCCCTGTCCTTCTTGAACTGAGGGGCCCAGAACTGGACACAGTATTCTGGAGTCTCACCAGGGCGGAGTAGAGGGGGAGGAGAACCTCTCTCGACCTGCTGACCACACTCCTTCTAATACACCCCAGGATGCCATTGGCCTTCTTGGCCATGAGGGCACATTGCTCGCTCATGGTCATCCTGCTGTCCACCAGGACTCCCATGTCCCTTTCCCCTATGCTACTCTAACAGCTCAGTCCCCAGCCTATACAGTTCCATTTCAGTAAAACACCTAGAACACATGACCCAAAAATAAATTTGCAGCAAATTAGAATATTCAGTCTTGTGTTTGTAGCTAAATACATACTGAAAAGAATTGTCCAGAAGATTAAGTGCTACAATAAATCGAGGTTATAACATTTGGCACTCCTATCACATCTTGCAGCCATAGATAAGAATAGCCTTCTGGTGTGTCAGCCACTCCTCCCAGTTTTGTGTCATCATCAAACTCGCTGACAGTGCACTCTGTTCCCTCGTCCAGGTCATTGATGAATATATTGAATAGTACTGGTCCCAGTACCGACCCCTGAGGGATTCCACTAGATACAGGCCTCCACTAGACTCTATCCCATTGACAGCTGACTTCTTCCCTTCAACCAATTGACGATCCACCTCACTACCCGATCATCCAGACCACGCTTCCTCAGTGTAGCTGCGAGGAAGCTGTGGGAGATGGTGTCCAGTGCTTTACTGAAATCAGGATAAACCACATCCACTGCACTACCATCATCTACCCACCTGGTTATGTCTTCATAACAGGCTATCAGGTTGGTCAAACATGACTTCCCCTTGGTGAAGCCACGTTGACTGCTCCTAATGACCCTCTTATCCTTGATATGCCTAGAGACAGTGCTGAGAATAAGTTGTTCCATCACCTTTCCAGGGATGGAGCTGAGACTGATCAGTCTGTAGTTACTCGGGTCCTCCTTCTTACTCTTTTTGAAGACTGGAGTGACATTGGCTTTCCTCCAGTCCTCAGGCACCTCTCCTGTTCCCCACGACTTACCAAAGATGATGGAGAGTGGTCTAGCAATGACTTCCGCCAACTCCCTCAGCACCCGCAAGTGCATCCCATCAGGGCCCATGGATTTATGCCATTTCCTCTCCTCCACTAAAACAATACCGTTTCTTCTTAGTAGAAATAGGAAAATATTGATCAGATATTAATTAAGACTATGTATATTTTTTCTTGTGATGCTGTAAACCAGATTTTCACTGCTTCCTAGGATGTCTCTTCACTTGTTTGTTTTGAGTTTTTGCAGTGACCTTTTCATTGACCTCCAGAGGAAATCATACAGAAATGAAAACTAGAGACAAAGATTGTAAAAGCATAGCATGTGATTGTACCAGGAAGGCCAGGACTCAGATTAACATGCAACCAGCAAGGGACAGATGGGTAACAAAATATTACCCTCTAAGTGCATTAGTAGCAAGAAGACAAATGAAAATGCTTGTCGTCTTCTCGGCATATCAGAGGTCAGCCTTCACTAAAAAGGTCAACTGTAAAAGATGGTTATTGCAAATAGTACTAGCAAAACCCAATAAAATCATAGATTACAATACAAAGGGAAGTTTTGGTGGTATGTATGCCTTTAATGCCTGGTCATATTTGAAAAACTGGTCAAAGTAATCTCAGAACTATTATCAAGATATTTCAGGGAATTTGTGTCTGCCAGGTGATGTATCACAGGACTAGGAAAGGGCGAACAAACATCATGGCTGTTAAAGGAGAAAGAAAGAGAAGTTGAAGAAATAGAGACTAGTCAATTTGACTTCAGTCTCTAGAAAGAAGTTTGAAATAAATAAACAAAATATTTGTATGCAGCTGCAAGATAACAAATGACTGACCGCCCTGAAGGATTTGTCACAAATAAATAGTAACAACCAATTTAATTTCCTCCTGTGATAGTATAACACATCTTGTGGATGGGTTACAGGCAGTTGCTGCAACTTATCTTGATTCCGATAAGGTTTATGACATTTCTTGACATTACAGAATTTTAAGTATTATAGATTTTGGTTGTACAGACTTTGTTGGATAAGCCAATGATAGGTATAAATGGTTCACTTTCAAAACTGACAGTCCTGAAAAGGTCTGTCCTGGATCAAATTCCCTTGAATACTTCCTTTATGGTGCGTTAACAAAAGTAATCCTACTAGTTTTGCAGATGTAAGACTTTAAAATACGGTGTTAGACATAAGAATGATCTTGACATATTGAAGAATGAGTCTGAAAAACAGGGTGGAAGCCAATTAGGGTACAGCATGTAGGCAAGAATAATCAAGTGTATGTGAGAGGCTATGCAAAACAACTGGAGAAGTTCATACTGGAAAATACTTTAAAAATGTCTGGGATGTACTTTTCAAAACATGCAGTCTGCCACGTCCTTTGGAAAAGACAAAAAAAAATTTACTTAAGCTACCTCAAGATGTATTTCTCTTTGCTTTCTTAATTTCAATTTTTCCATTATGTTTCATGATATGATGCTCGTTCTTAACTTGCCGGCCAAGCTGGCATCTATTGTAGATTCTTATCCCACTTTAATTACATAAGTGTACCCATCTGTTCTGATGTGTCATACATCAGAGATCTACTTGATTGTCTGTCTTAATTTCCCTCTGGAGTGTTTTACATCATTTACTTTTCATAACTGTTTAACTAAAAGTACTATATACAAAATGTACTCATTGCTTTATTAAATATGTCACATCTTAAGTTTCCAGTCGTTGCAGCATATAGATGCTTTATTGCTGCAGGAAAACAATAAATGCAAATAAGAACTTTCATTTATCTGCTGTGAGTGGATTACATTTTGTTAGTGACTTGTTTTATCTCCTCATAATGAATGCCATTGCTCATTTTGTTCCTACAGGAACTTTTGGAAAGTGTATTAGGACATATTAGAAACTTAATAATACATCCATGATGTATGGGTAATTTTTCAGATATATGAGTAATTTTCCACCCAGTTTCAAACAGCAGTCTCAAATTGATTATGCAGTAGGGCAATATAGTGGTGAAACTAATGCTGAGAATGGGGCAGTTTGTAGTGTTATGCCTTCTGAGTGCTCCTTAAAACCTCAAATGGCAGGTTTTAATTCAAATAACAGAGCAGTTTATCATAGAAACATAGAATGGTTTGGGTTGGAAGGGACCTTAAAGATCACGGGGTTACAGCTCCCCCT